GTGTTTGAAATTAGCAAAGGCGACTGGATCACTGTAGGTTCATGCATTAACTTTATCCACCACACTGCAATGAAAACCAATACAACTCCGGATAATATATGTAAAACACTGCACCACGCGACCTCTCCAACTGGATCAGAAAAAACCTGCGATCTTATATAAGCCTTGTTCTACCTCTGAGGATCATTCGGCCAAACAGAAATACCCCCTATCTATAGAATTGTACACCACAGTTCACTCAACTCAAAATGACGTCCCTCGTGCGGCTGTCCAAAAACCGGAGTATTTCAGTGCAGGGATGGCATGGCACTGCTATACCCAGTTTGATAGCACACTCGCAGCTAGGCCCTGCTCTATCTTGGCTGTGCCCTATCGCACACTTGTTCCGATGAATGTAACTACGAACAAACTCACGTTTTATCTTCGCAACGTACCACCCATAAGGTTGTTGAAATTCCGTCGATAGCCCCCTAACCTATTGCCCATCAGGTAGGTGCAGTCCCCGAAAACATCACAAACTAGGGATTCAGATGGGTTCTAGGTGAGTCTCTCGAGAAACCAAACGAGTGTGTATTCGCTAATTTTGTGCTCTTTAGTTTTAATTAGAACGAAAGGTTGACGGAAACCAGGGGACTGCGCTTACCTGACGAGCCCCGACAAGGGAAAACCGGTCGTGGGCTTTAGACAGATTTTCAGCAACCTTATGAGTAGTATATTATAAAGATATACATGTATCGCGATATCTTGAATAGCGTAGCGATTGAAACATGGGGCGGCGTAATGCAGCACATTCAGTTGCCTTGAAACGTTACAAACGAGAGATTTAGCGGGGTTCCAGGTGACTCGAAAAACCAAATCAGTTTGCAAATGAGTGTATATTCGCTAAAGTCACGTTTTCTTCCGACTGTAATATTATGATCATGCCTGACGATACACGCCCCACCTGGTGGAATAAACATCATTAATATAACGTGACACGTTTTGTGTACAACGTGAATACCATAGGGCGATACATCATTTTCGCCATCATTGATAGAAGAAAAAGAGATGTTAACAGAGACTCACGAAATACGCGTGATATGACGCCTCAGACGCAACCACTTTTGCAGAGCTCCACGCTGTTCTTTAGACCGTAACCGCTCCATTTTGAGGTCACCACATCGTACCGATTTGCAGCAACACAAGATATACCTGATCTCATGTCTCTGCAAGCTCTGAGCTACCTTAACTGCGCACAATCTAGCCAATGCACTTCCCTCATAATCGCATGCCAACTCCAGTTCGCATCGACCGCATACCCGAACATCGATAATCGCTCTTGAAACCGGACATTTTCATATCGGTCTAATGGCTTGCCCGTAGTTCGCTATACCCTAATACTTCCCAAACGAGCGTGTTACCAGGAAGACGGTTTCAATCCGTTTAATTTGTGCAAGAACTTAAAAGCAGTGGCCACCTCGTTGTGGCCAATAGCCGTTCTGCTCACAAATCCAATAGTTCACCCGACAGCACTGTTGGTGTTTCGGTATATCGGTGAAGTCAAACCTTGCCTTGAGCCAGATATAACTTATGGTGACAATCATAAAAACAAAAAACCTACAAGCTGTGACGAATTCTTCTGGATCGGCGGGATGCTTGGGGGAACCATAGATTTTTTAATGTCCAGGTCGTAAATGGCCACTCTGATTTGAGTTTGCGTGGACATCATAGCCGCTATTTCCTCTAAGTCGTTATGAGATTATTTCCAAGTCTGTTGCGTAAGAAGGCGTGTGAATAGACCAGCTTCCCCACAAAACTCTCCACCGTTTCTGCAGCTACAACGCTCCAAGCCAGCAGCGGCCATTTCAATTCGAATTCCGTGGGCACTGTGTACCCCGAATACGTTTAAACAACTTCTCATAAAACTGCCGCCGTTTGGAGAGATCTTAGAGGCCAGAATATTTTCTATCAAATGTCGAAACGTTGTGTTACAGTTTTCCTTTTTCGAAGCACGGTTTCAGGGAAATTTTGGGTGTTCGTCTAGGCCGCGGCTGCCATCATCTCACTGATAATTCAGTTTCTGGGGCACTCTGGCACGGTTGTCAAGGTTACATTTGGATCGCACCCCACCTGATAGATCTTGTTGAAACTTTGTGATAATCAGGCTTAAGAGCGCCAAGGGCACGAATCATTTGTGCTAACTACACCCAATGCCCTTTATCCCAAAAGTTTTGTTACCCCCCAGCAGCGTACTAATCTTCTGCGCCATGATCTCCGTACAAACTCAGTGGCTGTATCCGTCCGTTTGCCTGATATTGCCTCCAGATGGTTCTTCTGCGTCAATATCTCTTTTCCATCTAATAACGATCATCCGATTTGGGACTGTATGTCATGTTCAAGTCATGGCATTCAATAAACCGTTTATTGTTAGAATTCTTTTTAATAAAGCATCCTTAGTTTTCATTCGCCTTCCTCCAATGCCAATCGGGAGAGCTTAGGGGACCGCCTCTCATTCTAGATAACGAGCATGGCCTTCAGGTGTTCGTTTTCAAATCCTTTTCATCATGTTTTACGCCAACCTATGACTCTCATCAGTTTGAAATGCTGCACTAACAGCTTAACATGGAGGGACGACAAATTTCACACAAGCGGCTCACCACGTTTCATGCAGTCATTATAAGACTATTTTTGTCTGTTTGGCGAATGGTCGCCGAGTATTGTTCCTTGTCGAGCCATTCAATTACTTGCGTTATCCTCTGTCCTGCCCTTTAGACTCACCGGTCGGTATGTCATTGAATTGAAAAGGAATTATATGAACTTTGTAAGGTTAAAAGTAAAAACGAAATTGGGTACGAAAAGTTAAGACTCAGAAATGGGAGAAGGAAGCTCCATCTCTCGACCTCTGAATAATTGGCGATCTTTTTTTCATACTTATTTTGCTTAATGCGTCTTATGTGAAAAGTTCCAACTCCCTGCAGCCGCGTTCGCCATAGCCCCAAAGGGACGACCGAAAGCCACACCCGAACGAAAGATTCTGTACCATTATTGGAACGAATTTCTGGCCTCTTACTCTACGTCAAGAAAGTACTAACACATGGTTAGATCCGCGGCCCCCAGAATGACAGCACGTAGGTTGATGAGTTCCAAAAATTTAATTAGTTCTGTCCGCATGAATGTCGGTCGATGCAATGTCGGCCGATTGAGACCATTGTAAATTATCTCTGGGTATGCACACCAGCTACCGATTTTGAACCCTTCACTTTAGGACACCTCCACTTCCGAAATGACCTGATATTTGCGCATTGAGTGAACAACATTTGTACGTGACGTTATCCGCCATGGATCCCGCTGTGAAAGGCGGGAATTTGGTAGGAGGGTGATCAAGATTAGAGCCTGAACTTCGATTGGATGATAGAACTAACCTTGCTCTGACGGTTTCACACACTACATTTAGGGCCCAGGTTAAGGCGTTTTGGATGCATCTCTATGTGGATCATCACACATTGATTCACGGACTGACACACAGGATCGAGGCTTTTGCCCAAGTTTCCCGGGTCGCTTTTGTTCTTGTCTGTCAGCGGCTGTTGTTCACCTGAAGGGTACAAGTGAAAAAAGGGTGTAGCACTGTTCTTTATGTTCTCGGCGCGGGGTAGTATGCTTACCGGCGCGAGGATTTGCATAAATAAACGTCTAGTAGTGCCTTGAACTGGGTTATAGAAAGAGCGTGGGCAACTGTCCTTGTTCTTGTCTGTCAGCGGCTGTTGTTCACCTGAAGGGTACAAGTGAAAAAAGGGTGTAGCACTGTTCTTTATGTTCTCGGCGCGGGGTAGTATGCTTACCGGCGCGAGGATTTGCATAAATAAACGTCTAGTAGTGCCTTGAACTGGGTTATAGAAAGAGCGTGGGCAACTGTCCGAGGAAGGTCATTACACGCACCTACTACCCGAAATGAGAAAAAAATTGCCTAATGAATGTATGAGCTCTGTGCCTGAAAATATTCCTATTATGTCTCCGCCGTGTGCTTTCTGGGACAATGGTGAAAGGCTTGTTGGCTAGGCTTTGTTCAAACGGGGCATAAGTAAAAATAAGTCCCCCTCGTAGGCGGCGATACTCCAGAGGAAGGAGATCGAACATCGCGAGACGCATTTCGTAGTCCACGGATTTGAGGCCGGCAACGATTATTGTAACGGCTCGCCAGACAAGCTCAATGAGGGTAACGTCCTGAGTGCATATTGGAGAAGCGGTCTGACGTAGGCCCCATAGAGTATTTAGAAGTCCATGCGAGTGACACGGGAGAAGGTGCGTCGGATCATCAGTAGAATGGCGAATGCCTTTTGGGCCGATTTCTCACGGTGCGCTGAGAAGGTCGAGTTCGAGGGGACCCAGATGTCCAAATTCTTTTTGGCATCTATCCTCATGATGTTTTTTGGTCCTTTCTCACCATGCATAACAAAGACATTTGCTGACTCACCTCCAAATGACATATGGGCGCACTTTTTGTCATTCGGAGGAAGATGCCAGTCCAACGATCACTGCTTTGCAGTGTCTACATTCAGTTGGAGGGCACTGGCATAGGAACTACAGAATTTCAAGTCGTCCGCAAAAAGTAGACATGGACTTGCAAGAAGCCGTGAATCCGTGAACATCTGAGAGGTGGTTGACTTAGATCAAAAACAGCAGTGGTCCGAGGCCTGGCAACTATGTTGCCTTCACACCCCGGGATAAGTTTAAGCCGCTGGATGACAATAAGAAACTCCGCTCGGGTGGCTTGGTTAGAAGTTTCAATCCTGTTTATCAATCCGAGAATACAGGAAAATACGTGAATGCGTGAAAATAGACTTGAGTCCGTAGGCGACGTTACTATCAGTGATGTGAGACTTTCTAGAGGTGCTTTAGCCCCCTTGGCGGATAGCCCTACCTAGTTTGGAAGAGGATATTTTAACGACGGTTTCTGTGAACTGTTCCACATCAAGGTGAAGCCGAATGTGAGTGTTGATCTGAACTGAACATATCGTAGACCGGGCAATTTGAGTAGCCAGGTTTTTGGCACTTGGATCCGCATTGTGAAAGCTCATTCTGAACTTATCTTAAAAATTCCCTGGTTTTGCTTGTTTATGGCTTCTAATTTTTACTGTGGTGGATCAGGGGGGCAGTTCAATAATATGTTGACATATCCAATGAAGGGCTTAACTCTTGGGCCGTCCTCTGCCCCCGTAAGATCAGTTGCTACACTTTATATTTGCTTTAGTCACTGGATCTTGTTACAGGGACTAGCAGTCCGGTTGGTCTGAGCCACTTGTCAAATTACTCCAGACCACCTTCAGGCGCAACGCCGGACGGTTCTCTGTCGAATATGTTTCGCGGCCAGCAGACGCGCCCAGGCGGCATCTCTGACTACTTTATGTCACAAATGGGAACCATTAATGCTGGAGGCCTCCGACCTTCAGTCATTTCAGGAGTAACGGGCAATGGATCCAACTGTGCCCCCTCAGTTTTCCCCGGACAGAATGGATTGTTTAAAATGAACGAGCGCTTTCGCGTACCCCCAAAATCAACCGACTCTGAAAGTCCTTTCTTTGGGTTCCAAACTCCAGTGAGTTGTACCATTCATCCAAAGCCATATTTAAATACCACGCAATATTTGTGACATTTGGCGCGCATCCTTAGTTCGTTTATCCAGGATTCGTAGGCAATGTAGGACATTTGTAGCTCGTCTTGCACACATCATTGTTCACCTTGTGGTGTAGTCTTCAGCTTTTTCAATCACAGTTGCCCAATTGGAATTTGGCACTTTATACAAGAAGCTGTAGTATATATTCTGGCCTCGGTAGGTTAACGGTTTCCAACTCATTCGGCCTCCTGAAGACTATGGGACTAAATCAAAATAGCTTTCAGAGTACGCGAAGCAGTCAGACAGCCTTGCGTTCAATGTAAGCCCCCTTTGTTAAGAACGATGTTATCACTGACATTTTCTTCGCTTTGTGTTAAACATCCGGATCTTGGTAAAAACGAGAAGTGGGTGGGTGAGAAGGTTCAAGAGAGCGCTGCTGATTCGACACCGGACAACATGGATTCCGAAGATTGGTCATATACCACCAACCTCGAGAAGAAAATGAATGTATAGTAGAATGTCACTGGTATGATGTATGCAAATCTCAGCCTTTGCAAATTTGCATCTCGAGTATCTATTGCGAAATCAAAGGAGGCATCTTATAGTGGATTCGTGTGTCAATCCCACTGCATGTCTGCAGTAGCGAATGGAGTGCCCCAGATTGTGGTGTTTGACCCCTCACTTCAGGATTTTTGTGAATTGGTCAAGGAGTATGGTTGATACAGGCGTCCCAAGAGACAATGAAGGAAATTCAATCAGCCGTGGACGCGTTGGACTTGGTTCTTTGTCGATTCGGTCAATCAATGACAATTGTGTGTTACTCATAGAGAATACACAGCATCATGCTGAGCCAATGTATCAGCTGCAAACCGTTTACCAATTGGACATTGGTTTCGGTTGCTGCTGGTTCGGTCACCGTAAAATGGGAGTTGGTTGCTAAATATGGGAAACGATGCCGTAATAAGTTAGTGGCGTTGAATCCATAGTTAGTTGAAGGGATGGTAAACTGAACAGCTACGCATTGAAGGTGCTACCTTTGATGCACGAGCGCAATTGATAGACTGAGCCAAATCTACCAGTGTCATCAGTCATTGATGAGTTGAATCTCGGGGTCCCCATCTAGCTAGGCAGCGGTCGTCAACACAACTGCGTTTATTGGTCATTGTTCTCATATGACATTGACAGAATGAGGTCTACGTGAGCTGTTATACCGCCAGGGCGCCCAGACGTAGGCAGGAGGACGATTGGGGTACTCGATCAAAGACTGGCTCAGAAGCCCCACCACATGTCAGCGATGTTTAGAGGGGGAGATATCACCATATCGCTTTTTACAGAACCAGTCGCCAGGTCGTGGTCGCTTCCACTCAGCTCAAGCCTGACAAAAATAGCTGTGGGAGACAGATGGTTTCTCTAACACAACTTACTCAGTCTAGCCAGTGTAACTTGTTATTCTGCGTAACCACTCCATCGTAGGATAGTCCTTTTTTCCAAAACGTCTGAAGCACCTCAGCATTACTAATCCGATGTTCTCACCGGACCCGGTCACTCCTTCGGAGACACCGATGGTCAAGTACTGGAAGCTTTCGTATGTCCGGTCCATAAAACAGTATGGATCACAATTCCGCTGTGTATACTCTACCTTCGACGTCCCATCTGTGCCATGATCTTGACAAAAGCTGTCCCTGTCTTCCTGACTAGTAAAAGATATCATCTCCATCGCGTTCACTTGAACTTATACAACAGCCCAGGTAAATATATTTATCTACCGCGTCAATCGGCCCGTCCACACACACGAGGATTGGGTTTGATTCCACTCAGTCTTGTAGCAGTACTTTACGGTTTGCGGCTCTGAGGCATATACCAAACTATGCGGTAGAATCATTAGGTTATTTATAATGATCTGCATATTTGAAGAATCCGAACGAAAAAGAACAATATTATCCGCATTTTCAGTGCATGTCAGTGAGCACGTCTGGAGTGTTTCGGTCCTCGTGGTTCCAGAGAGAGGAATTTCAATCAGTACGTCAGTGAAAAAATTGAATAGGAACGGTCGGAGGAGACAGCCATGACGTCGTGAACTCAAATGACAATTTTCTGTATACTCATACATATCTATCAACCCCCAATATTGTCTGCTCTATGTCTGGGTTGATCAGGATCGCGTGCTGCACGGACTTGTCTCCTAGACATTGAGTGCATTGACAGTCCGTCAGTTTTCACTCGCCATCCACCCACTGCTCTCACGACTAGCGCGCACGGTTTGCATTCAGCTCGGTTCCCTCTCCTCCTCAACGATACCCCAGCTCCTCTATCAGTCAAGCACAACTACCTCTTCCCGTCTATTTGGATAACGGTCTATATGGTAGCCTGCGTCACTGTGCTACTCGCAACCCATCCTTAAAAGAAGAGTAATCCGAAGTTTCATTATTTACAGGTCGTCGGGTACGAGGGCATTGATTCTTCCAATGGTCAGGCATGCCACAGTTGTAGCGTCCGCTCTTTTGAGCCTACCTCCGCGATTCCGTCTTGACGGCTGCAAGCTGTTCGGCGGGTTGGTCCACTTTTGTTCTTTAGGTCCCGTTTTGTTGAATTTTCCCGGTTCTCCTGCGACTGCAACGTGGCCAGTGGCGTCGCAGTCAATTCCCGTGCCAGATGCACCAAGTGTTCCACACTCAACTGGCCAGTTGCTCTCGCCAGCCGAAACTGGGCACAAAACGCCGGCCGCACAACTTCGACAAACTGGTCAGAAAGCAACTGCTGACGCGACACTCCGTCCAGTCCCGGGAAAGAACACCGTCGGGTCACATCTCGATTCCATCCTGTCCTTCTTCAACCGCCTCATAGCCTCCTGGTGGTCGACCAGTGCGTCCAACTCCGCTGCAAGAGCTTATTTCGCGGCGGCCCAGTCCATCTTCCGAGGGCCTCTTCTGGCCGCATCCAGAGCCGTCTTCGCCCAGCCTCTGAGGAGGGTCTTCAGCGCCGCCAACTTACTTTTGCTGGTCTCCAGTAATAAATCTATAATAAATCCCACTTTCCAATAGACTCAAAGCGAAGTTTTGAGAAAACATATTACTCGCTCACCTCATCAGTTGTATCCATCGTTACACTGATAGCAAAACTTGGGGCGAGATGACCCAAGTGGTTAGGGCGCGAATTTACTGACAGGAATGTCCGTGTTTCGAACGCGACCTCTACCTCTCGACTTCTGTCTAGGCTTAGACAACCTGGCAGTATCTCAACCCTCGTCCCCCCTTGTGTGGCATGGCAGTTAGGAACCGAAAGGGTGCTACAGCTGAACGATATATATATATATATATGGTAGCAACCACGTGGATTAAGCATAGCAATGTGTGAAGTGTTATGCTAGTGACGTTATCTGCTATCTGCTGGACTTCTCCGATACGATCAAATGACCACTGGATGTCTCGAGATCTTTATTTATGATTGACTGCAGGAAATCCATACCAGTAAGCAACGAAGAGGACTGCGCACGCAAATTCCGCAAACACAAAACAGTGAAAAGCCCAAAGAAAAACCGAGAGCTCTGGTGGGCATCGAAAGTACGGGAGATGGGGCTTTTGCTGTCTCGAGATCTTTATTTATGATTGACTGCAGGAAATCCATACCAGTAAGCAACGAAGAGGACTGCGCACGCAAATTCCGCAAACACAAAACAGTGAAAAGCCCAAAGAAAAACCGAGAGCTCTGGTGGGCATCGAAAGTACGGGAGATGGAGAAGGCTTTTGCTACCAGAAACAGCCGCGCTCTATGTCAACTCATGATCCACTGACACTAGAAAAGCAAGTCACTGAAATGGTAATTGAAAAAGGTGGCTCATCAGTTTACTCGCAAAAATATGGACTGGAAAGGTGGATAGAACACTTCGACGAATAGCTGGTCTCATGCAACACAGTCCCTGGAGATGATGCACATTGGTGAATAGAATGTAAACCTTAATCGCCTGTCGGAAGACGGAGTTAAGTACGAGATATCCGCATTGAAACGGACGGAGGCACCAGGACCGGACGGTATATATCCAGCTCTGTTCAAAGAATGTGCAGAATCTCCGGTGACCCATCTAACAAAACTCATTGGTGCGATACGGAACAGAGAGAAAGTGCCTGCAGAATGAGCAGTCATTCTTGTCTATAAAAAGAATACTCAGACGCGGCGTGAAAAACATCGTGGCATCAGCCTGGTTGCTGTGGTATTGAAGGTGCCCTGTGGTCTTTTCATTCGAAGGTTGACTGGACACGGAGAGACATCTGTGAAAACCAAACTGGGTTCCGTTCTGCATTGATAACATTTTTACCCTCCGACGGATTCCGGAACAGGGACACTGGTTCCAGCAATCAGCACTGGTTGTGTTCCTTGGGCTGACATTTGCCTTTGAGACTGTGGAACGTTAGGTCTTATGGCAGTGTCTCTGGAGTAAGCGTGTCCCCCATAACTTCCCGACCTTCTTTAAGACACTGTACGCCAACTCTGCTGTACCTGTGACGGCCTATATGAAGCTCTTGACTGAGTTCACCATGTCAACTGGAGTCAGGCAAGGCTGTCCTCTTTCACCTTTTCTTTTCAACTTCATTGACATGATGCCTGTGGGGTTGCAGTGCTTCCCGGGCATTTGCTCACAGACACAGGGTACGTAGATGACGTTACTCTTCTTGGATGTGACACCGCGGAAAGGTTAATAACATAAAATGATCTAAATAATGGTTTGGCATGTGCTTGACCTGAAAGGTTTAAAATACTGTTGCAAGACTGGGTGGTACTGAACCCTGGCCTCGTGCTCATTGAAGTGGTGGACAAACTTGTCTGCCTGGGCAGCTGTGTCAATCCCAATGGCCTCGTGAAAGACTATATTTCTATCCGGACTGGGAAGACCAGAGCAGCCGGATCACCTGTGGCGTATGGGCGACATCAGCTTATCCGTCATTGATCCGGTTTACAATACTGCTGTGGGCTCATTATTATACTGC